TTTAGTAGAGACGGGGTTTCACCATGTTGACCAGGATGGTCTTGATCTCTTGACCTCGTGATCCACCCGCCTCAGCCTCCCAAAGTGCTGGGATTACAGGCTTGAGCCACCGCGCCCGGCTTCCTTACAGATTTCTATGGACCAGTTGAATCAATTGAATTCAGTTGAATTCAGCCTATCCAGATGAAGATATTCATGAAGTCCAGTCTCTAGGTATAATATTTGAAATTATGATAAATTCTGCTTTTTTTTTTTTTTTTTTAATTTTGAGACAGGGCCTTGCTCTGACACCCAGGCTGGAGTGCAGTGGCTCAGTCTTGGCCTCCTGGACCCCAGCAATCCTCCCCCCTCAGCCTCTCGAGCAGCGGTGACTACGGGCACCAGCACACTTGGCTAATTTTTATATTTCTGGTAGAGACAGGGTTTCACCTGTTGGCCAGGCTGGTCTCAAACTCCTGGTCTAAGTGATCTGTCCCCCTTGGCCTCCCAGAGTGCTGGGATTACAGGCATGAGCCACTGAGCTCTGCTGATAAACATAAGTTGAAAAACGTTTGGAGCTGTTTTCCTGAAATTCTGAAAAGCCCTGTTGTTAAAGCAAAAAGAAGGTTACCAGTTCAAGGCTGCTGTGAGCTATGATCACGCCACTGCACTCCAGCCTGGGTGACAGAGCCAGACTCTGACCCTAAAAATGTTAAAAAGTACCAGGATGTAGGAAAAATGTATGTGCACAATTTGGTGACCAAATTGATATGAGAAATTATAGCTAAAAATTAAGCTTTTTTGGTTTTTATATATAGTCATTTGAATATATTCAGTGCCCTTTTAATTTTGTTTTCAGCTAACTTTATTTTTCCAAAATAATTTCACATTTCTTTCAGATGATGTGAGTGTTGGGTCGGGACAGGGTGAGGGAGTCGAAGGCGTAGCTGGGGAGTGGGAAGGAGGCCCCAATGCTGACGGAGGGAGCAGGCTGGATTTTTGTGGAGAAATTCAACCATTTGTTTACCTATCCATTATTTACATTTCCTTCCGGAAACTAGTATAACCCTGTAACTAATAGAACATCCAGAGAAAACTAGCAAATATCACTGAAATGCCGTTTGTATTAGAGACATTCAAAATGTTTGCCATTCTCATTTTTAACAGTTGGTTGGGAGAAAAGCAGTGCCAGCCATGCAAGTGAGGAAGGCGTAGAGAGACGGCAGGTGGCAGTGCAGGTACTCAGGACTCAGCGTGGAGAGCACGTGGGAGGCCTGTTCGCTGGGAAAAGAATTGATGAGTTCGTGTGTACATGAAGTATTTTCCCTTTTGTCCATGTCATTCCAGCTTGTGATGGTCAAAACAAAATTAAAGAAATTTGACGGCTGGGAGGCCGGGTGCAATGGCACATGCACTTTGGGAGGCCGAGGCAGGTGGATCACCTGAGGTCAGGAGGTTGAGACCAGCCTGACCAATATGGTGAAACCCCATCTCTACTAAATAACAAAAAAACTAGCCAGACGTGGTGGCGGGCACCTGTAATCCCAGCTACTGGGGAGGCTGAGGCCGGAGAACCGCTCAAACCCAGGAGGTGGAGGTTGCAGTGAGCCGAGGTCGCTGTTTGCTGGGAAAAGGATTGGGAAAGGCCTGGGTGAGAGAGTAAGACTTCCGTCTCAAAATTAAATTAAAATTAAAAAATAAAGAAATTTGGTGGCTGGGCACCATGACTCATACCTGTAATCCAAACACTTTGGGAGGCTGAGGCAGGAGAACTGCTGAAGGCCAGGAGTTTAAGACCAGCCTGGACAACACAGCAAGACTTTATCTCTACAAAAAGAAAAAAAAAAAATTAACCAGGCATGTGTTACATGCCTGTCACCCTAGCTACTCAGGAGACTGAGGCAGGAGGATCCCGTAAGCCCAGAAGTTGGAGGCCGCAGTGAGCTGTAGTCACACCACTGCATTCCAGCCTGGGTGACAGAGACCCTGTCTCTAATTTTAAAAAAAGTTTAAGAAATTTGGTCCCTTAAGAAACATTGATTATTTCTGTCCCAAATTAAGTAGTGAAGTTTGAATTCACACCTTTCTAAGAGGAAGAAAACTTGCAGAGCCATGTATGCCCAACCTTGGTGTTCTTTTAGCACTTAAGGTTTATAGTGAGCCTGTGGATCTGCCCGTGGGCTGCAGAGCAGAGGCCACCTCTCCATGACTGTGTCTCCTGCGGTCCATTCCGTCCCCACCGGCATGTCCACCTGCACACCCCTCCACCAGGCCCTTCGTCAGCCCCACCATCTGCCATGCTGTCTTCTCCTCCCTGCCTCCTGTTCTTCTCATTTTCTTCCTTTGTGGATAGTAAAATTATTCTCCGCTTTGCACATCATTTTTAAATGTCTGAGCAGAAAGGCCCAGATGTGGTCACTGGCTTTCTGTCCTTTCAGAGGCTCTGGGGTCATGTTTGGGTTCTCAGATCGCATTCACCGGTTCCAGCTCCAAGGTTTTTACTGTTGCCTTTTTCTATGAAAATGTTTCTTCTCTGTGAAGTGCCTCTTTCAGCTGTAATTACACATTTCAAACATATAAAACTCTTGGTTTTGTTTTGCTTTACTTTGTTTTACAGATCAACATAGAATGAGCATAAAATTCAGGGTAGCAATTCACCTCTGAGCTTCTCATGGGCTGAAGGTGGACATGCTTTTTACATCCTCACACGTTAACACGCTCTCACAAGTACCGTGATAGGGTCATTTTTTTTTTTAAGTGAAAACAAAATTTCCTAGACTGTTAGGAAGACAATGGATTGGGGGAAAAAAAGTGTCTTTTTTTTTTTCCCAATTTGATAGAAGTTTGAAATCCAATTTAAGTAT